CTGGATACTTGCTCCTGGTACACTTGATGGAAAAGCACTGGGAATAAGAGGGAGTAAACAGGGGATTCATTCCTGGACATGTAAATGCCTGATGTCTACCCAACTCACAAAAGAAATATTGCAAAGGTGTTGAAGACACATTAGATTTAGAATTAGGATGATTCTTTGCAGGTGTATCAGTAGCTACTGTTCAACAGTGTGAAAAAGCCATGATTCACAGATCCACAAAGGATCTGGGACAGGGAACAGCAGCAGCACAATGTAATGCCCAGCCCTCACCCACTGTCTTTACAATGAGAAGTCAAAATTCCTGCAAAGGTGCCTGCTTATATTTCACATCTGTGTTATCTTCCATGCCCATTTCAGTCCTGAGATCAAAAAAGTGCAGTTCATCTCTTCTTCCCAAGTATTACCTACCCAGTTCTGCACAGCCATGAATTGATGATATATTTCCTTGTCTTGAGAAGTCAGGATAAGGACACCCCAAAATCTAAAGAAAAATAAAACACTGTTGCATGCTCCTCAAATCATCAAAAACACAGGGCAGCACTGTAGCACGGACACAAAGCTTTCTGTTAGTGGGACAGCATTTTAGGAGGATTTCTGGTTTTCTTCTCTCTTCCTGATGCTTCCTTACAAATCAGGCTCTCCCTGCCTAGTTCTCCTGTGCTAGAAGTCTCACTGCAGCTGCAGGGAAAGACAAGCCATTTTGCTTGCATGGCTGCCTCTGCATTTCAAGCTGATTTGTATGAGACACTGCCACCAGCATGATTTGCATACATACCAAAATGCAAGACCTGCTCAAAATGAAGCAGGAAAACCATTTGTCTTTCCTCTCAGAAAAGGTTATGGATTCTTTGCAAATGTTTACTATTATGTGTTTCCTAAGCCTCTGAGCTATAGAATTTGTACATAAAAGGGGGTTCACCCTCTTCCCACAATCCTATTTGCTTCAGATTAACATGAATGACCTCTACTTCACTTGAGCTTATTCACTGCCCACAGAGCAGGGCCTGGCTGTACAAAATTATTTCCCTGCCATCATGAAATGCTATTCAGCTGCATAGGAGGGGACAAGGCTGCAGATGCAGGTGTTAGCTTTCTGGAACATTAACTGTTCAACACCCAGACAAGACTCCTATTTAAACCTTACTCAGATCAGAAGGGCCACAGAAAACCATGACATAGGTATGAGATATCTGGACTTAACACAGCACAATACAAGGCCCAAACATGTGATAAAGAAAACAGGGGTGAACTACAGCCTGTAATCACACATGCAGGGGACAAAGCAGCCGTGCCATGAAATGCTTCATCTCAGCTCCTCCTGCTGCTTCCTCCCTTTCTGTCCTCAACTGTATCAGTCACCCAATGTGCCCCACAGTTGCTGTCTTAAGAGTGCATCAGAGGCTCTGGGGTGGGTGCTCTTTTAAATGGCTTAATTTAAATTGACATATGAAGTGTCACCTCCAAATTAAGCCAGGCTGAAGAAAGCCCTTCAGGACCTTTATGTCCCTTCTCTCTCTCTCTCCCCTCTCCTTTCTCACATTACTTTAAAGAGAGCTTGCACATAATTTACCATTCTGGCCACCAAGAGAAAACAACTCCTACCTGAAAGGTGTCTTCAGGTGCATGCTCTAAAGGCAGGGAGGATATGCCCACATTTCCCCAGTCCTCCAAGAATAACAGCCCAGACTGAAGTCCTTCCACAAGTCAGATCTCCTGTGTCAGACACAAACCCAAATTATTCTGGCATATAAACACAGATCTGTGCTGAAAGAATGCCCATTGGGCAATTAAAATCTGTTTTGCTCCTTTGTTCTCCAGGCAGGCTGCCTGATTGCCTGGACCCTTTTACTTGAGAAAACAAATATTAGGCCCAATGTACAGCTGACAGAAAGCCACACAGTACCATCAATTCCTCTGTTACCCTGACTGAAATTTTGACCTATGGTTACAACTACATTGAAGCTCTTAGTTCCTACCTCCACGTCCCATACTTTCATATGGCACAATAACTCTACCCACTGATTTTTGCAGACTAGGGACTGATTTTCTGAGACCTCAGTGCATCAGGCTCACAGTGGTCACCCTGTGCAGCACCTGGGCTGCCTGGCAAAACTTACTCTGATATGGACTTTATTGCATTGGGTTTGGGAACTTTTGCAGTGATTTGCAAATAAGCAGAGAGTTCAGACACAACCACATAACTACTGTATTTAAATGCTCTATTCATTACTACAAAACAGGATCCTGCCTAGAGAAGCAGAGACTGAAACTTCAAGTAGAGCAGACAAGTGTAAAGGACTGATGGAAATAACTGTCCTGCTCCCACAGAGCAAAGCAATCTAACTGTTTAAATACATTCAGCACCTGGACTGTCCCAGCAAAAATTCCATCCTCAAACTCACTAAAGAATTACACACCATTCCTTAGTCTGCACAGGCAAGAATTTGCTTTTGCATTCAGTGAATGGTGGTTGGGGGCTTCGGTTTAAGAAACAAAAACATGTATTTACTGAAAATCACATGTGACTCTTGTGATGAGCAAAGCCATTTAAAACAGTCAGAACCTGGGGGAACCAGCCAGGACACAGAGGGTGTTGTGGGTGCCTCTTTCAGCACACACATACTGATCTTCTGTATGTGTATATTGTAAAAAAAAAGCAGAGTCTGACGAAGACTGGTAGGATAATCAGAATAAGGCACATTCCTCTCAGAGACCAGAGCAGCCAGCTTTTTTTAGCTTAACCAAGCAAAGGGTAAGAAGGGTCATCACTGCAATCCAGAAATAGCTAAAAAGCAAACACCAAGGAAGAAAAATAGCTAGTTAAGATCAGTGACTAGAAATAAGCAAAGAAGAATAAAAAGGCCATGAGCATGAGCAAATTTGTACTGGGAATTATGTTTCTATGACCAGAAGGATGAGGCAGAAATTACTTTTCAATAGAAAAAATAGGGGAAAGAAACACTTAACCATCTTTGGGCATTTATAAAGCAGACATGATACCTGTCGTCAGTAGAACTGAATCTGACACCCTTGAGCTTCCTCACTCCAGTGTGTGCTCAGCTCAAACCCAAAGAAGAAAAAAAAAATAGAGCAAAATGTCAACATTCACAACTATTGTCAAAAATCTCTCATTAAAACTAGGCCACAAAAACAGCAAGCTGTGCATGGAGGAATGCCCAGAGGAGAAAAATGGCATCTTGCTGAATCCAGGCTCTCTGATAATTTTTGCCTCTCCATCATAGACACTTGCCCCATGCTTGCTCTCCAGCATGAATTGCCAGTTGGAATTTTCCTGCAGCATGTCTACAGGGAGGTATCAGGAAACTCTGTAAATGCTGGAGTAACTACTCAAAAGCACTTACCTGCAGTGAAACAAAGTGTTAGAGAGGAAAAGGAGAAGGATTATATGCTGGACTGTATGATGGTTTATGCAGACATTCTCATTAAGGAAATGGTAATCTCTGCCTGTAGATCTCTCCTCCTCTGAAAGCCTGGCAGTGCCACTGAATGACTGTTTATCATGATCAAAACACTAGAACTCATCCTTGTCTCCTTGCAGGCATGGAGCTTGTGATGATCTCCTTACTTGCCTCGTAAGGTAGACATATAAAAGGAAAATGAAAGGAGAGAAGGAAATCAAGAAAATGGATAAAACATATGTGGGGAGAGACACAGCTGAAAGGACCCCACTGTTCAAAGCACACTGGTCAGCAATGGAACAGATCCTCTAAAGGCATCTGTGGCTCATTCCTACTACTATCATTCCAAGAAGGAATTAATCAATATATTCCTTTCCAGGCACTCACTGGTGGTTTTCTCACCAACTCATATTTGGTGAGTTTTTCAGAGGCACAGTGACATGACCAGAGAATCAGCAAGTGGGTTTGAGGGAGTGACAGAGCAAAAATAATGGCAAACAGCTTGATCCAGTCATAGGCGAGACTGCTTAGAAGATGCTGCTTGGTGAAGAGCTCTAAAGACTGAACTCTCACTTGAAGGAAGCAGCTTTCACAGGGCAGAAGCCAAAGGTGTGTTCAAAAATATGATCAACATCCATTTTAGTTTAATCACAGGAGCAAACTCAATTAACGTGGCTGGTACAGTAGAAAGTTGCGCAAAATAACTTACTGGATTTCTCTTTCTTCTTTCCCACAGAAAAAAACCTTTTTTTTTCGTTTCCTTCGGATTGCTTTTGTTTTCACCCTTGTTTGAGGCAAAAAACCAAGAAAAACCAAAGAAATAATTAAAAAAGCTCTCTCTGGAAGAGAGCATCCATCTTCACACACTTTGCCTCTGCCTCTCCAGGCAGGAACAGGTGACTCCTGAGGGCTGGAAAGGTGCAATGCAGAGAACAGCCTCACACACCCCAGTGTGCCCCAGACACTTTTGAAAGGGTCTACCAGATCCTCCATTCTGCTCTGGTTTTCTTGATATGTTAATAAGTGATAAAGGTTTACTGTGCTGTAGTTACATTTTACAGTCACACATAGTGCTCCTCTTAACAGCATTCTTCCTCTTTAAATTCCCAGAAGTAGGGAAGCACAGTCCATACAGTTTAAGGATCTTCTGTATATTGAATTTTGAAGCCATCATCATTGCTAGATTAACTGAACTCGCTGGGACTATCTACAAAAACAAATTATCAGCCCTCCACAGGCTTGCAGAAGGTCAGGGCTGCCAGGCAGAGAAAAATAAAATTCAAGAGTGGCTGTCTGTGTATTAGATCTTAATTTAGGCATGGTTTGGGAATTTCAGCACTTTCTGAAGATTAGGTATGCAAATTCTCTTCCTGAACTCACAGAAGCTGTTAGTGAGCTCGGAAGTTAAACACAATTAAGCATCTCCTGACTTGTGGTCAGGATCATAATGTCTGTGGAGCAGTCTGACACTGCCTTGTGCATCCCTTTCTTTCCAAGATGATCTTATCTGCTCGGGGATCTCAGAACCACTGTATAATAATTTTTCAGTTTAAATTACATCTGTTGATATCAGATTAGCCTTATTTTGGCTTTTCCAGGAAAAACCTGAAAGCATCCACAGACGCACATTGCCTCTTCTGATGTCAGCAAAAATGTTGCTATTGATTTCAGGAGAACTGGGATTTCATTGCATCATTTAGTGCTGAGTGTCACTAGGCAAAAACGGGACTGCCCCAGATTTCCCTACAGTTGTTAAACAAGAGAGCTATCAGTTCTAAAGATGAAAGCAGAACTGTAAACAGTGCTCCTTGCAGTGATGATGATAGTTGGAGGGAAAAAAAGGAGAATTCATATTTTTCTGTGGCACTGGATGTTCCCAGTAAATGCTAGAAATTGCAATAGTGTTCAGTGACAGACATAGTTTATTGTTCACAGAAGTCTTTCTCATGATCACAATTTTTTACCTCTACAACATTTAATTACCAAAATTTCTGCACTGGCCCTCTGCAATCTGGAAGCTGTTCAGGTGGTCACACTGCAGCAGTGAACACTAACCGAGACTGGGAAAGGGCCTCAGTCTGTCAAAATGTGTTGCTTCAGAGAGCCCAGCAAACCTCCTCCACGCAGAGCTGCTGTGCCTGGCTGGTGCAGGAGCAAGCAGCAAGTCCAAGAAACAGGCAGACAGTTTGTGATCCTTTTGTGAAGAACACTCCTATTGGGGAGAATGGAAAGTTCATCTACACTCCCAATGAGGGGCTGTACAGCCACCCCCGTGCTGAGCATCACTCACCCAGGATCAAACCGCAGATACTGGATCACTAAGTCACAGAAACTCAGTCAACCTGTCCAGTTCTGAGTCTCAGGAGAACATTCAATTCAGAGTTTCCTCATCCCCCATGAAGCTCTGTTTATGATTGATTTATCTAGACATACAGCAATGATAATAACTTGATAAATTGTCATGTGCAGGTCATTTTTAAAGAATCATTATGTGCATTAGAAAGCTTTAACACTCATGACACTATAATTATAATCAAGCCTCATCTAGCATTACCAAGCATTGGGGAAGAGTGTGGTGGGGGATAGTTTGCTTTAATTCCCAATGTGATTAAAATTCCCTTTTGTTCCAGCAGCCAAAGCCATCTTCCTTTTTAAAAGCATAGCAATGCCTACCTGCAATTATGAAATAAGTAATTTCATTTAAAAGCAACAGCTACATACAAGAAACTCCTGCACCTTGGATGTCCTGTTGGAAAAACATGAATTACACATCTTTGTCACAGAGCTGGCCAGTTATGGCTCCCTATAGCCCAGTACTACTGTAAAATAAAAATTTATAAAGATGGGAAGCTCACAGCTTTGCAGAGTAAAACCATAGCTGTATTTCATATCTCACAAAACCTACTGTGTGCAGCTCAGACCTGAAAGAATTTTTTTGCCTTAAGGCTAGAGGGGGATACTTGGTTCTCTGCACAGTTGGCAGGTTCAGTTACGAAGCTATAACCCTCTGTGAGAATTACAAGGCGAAACACCACATCTTGAATAATTCAGGAAGTCAGCTTGAAGGACAGCAGCAATTCCTTCTTGCTTTAAATCCTGTCCCCCTCTTCCCCACACTGATCTCCTGGGACTCCATGAAACATAAAGCAGCAGGCAATAAACGAACCAGCAATTACCACAGACAGATGCATAAAGCCCTGCTCTCCCTTCTCCCCCCATGTGCCCATCAGAAAGGACTCTCCCATGTCTCTTCTTTCTGCTGACTTGGGAGTGAGAAAGAGAAAGCAAAAGATT